AAAATTATTCCCTTACGATAAAATTTTATCAGGTGTGCCCAGTAGCCTCCGGCTTCCCCTTTCATTAAGATGTTTGGTGAAAAGACTTCTATAAGGGCATTCAACCCATACATTGTTATTATATACATATATACATGTTATTAACATCGAGCTGGGAATTTGAAGCATGAATATTCACGACATTAAAATTGTTGAAAAATAAATCAATAATGAATGGCCTATTCGTTCTTCACTTCATGATAATAAACTATTATTTTCAGCATGCCAACGTATCGTGTGAGCCCGACCAAACTAGGACTTATTCTCCTCGCGTCGACTAAGCAGCCTGGCCCGGTATACCCTGAATCTACTTGTTTTGCCCGACAAATGTTGAATAATCAGAACAATCTCCATTAAAATAATTCCTCGCAATTCTTACCTCCCACTGTTCCGTCCCTGGTGGAAAAAACTCCTTAAATCCTATTGGAAGAAAAAAGGGTAATTGGAAATTATGACGTTATTGCCGTTGACCCATTATTTCCGGTTCCGGTTACTAGCGCAATGCTGACACGTATGGAAAAATCCAATAGGAAAACCTAGCGAATTCTCTAGAAAATTCTATTGGGATTCTGAAGAAAATCTATCGGATTTCTATGGGATTTCTACTGGAATTCTATTGGAATATTCTATTAGTTTTCTGCGCTGATTCTATTGCATATTTCATACGGAAAAGTCAATAGATTTCGAATTTCTTTCTCCAGAATCCCAATAGAATTTTCTAGCTAATTCGCTAGGTTTTCCTATTGGATTTTTCCATACGTGTCAGCATTGCGCTACTAACCTGAATTGGAAATTATGAGTCAACGGCAATAACGTCATCATTTCCAATTACCCTTTTTCCTTCCAATAGGATTTAAGGAGTTTTTTCCACCAGGGTTGTACCGTGTGAGCCCGGTAGTTTATCAATATTTTTTTGCGACGACTCGTTATTAAAAAAACAATCATTTATTTACAAAAAGATTGTACCGGGTGCGCACGGTAATTTTTCAATATTTTTTATGCCGAATTTGTGGTGGGAAAGCAACATTTTTTACAAAAAAATTGTACCGGGTGCGCATGGTAATTTTTAAATATTTTTTTTCGCCGAATTTGTGGTGGAAAAGTAATATTTTTTACAAGAAAATTGTACCGGCGGCACACGGTAGTTTTTCAATATTTTTTATGTCGACTATTTTGTTGAAAAAACAATAATTTATTTACAAATTGTACCGGGTGCGCACGGTAGTTTTTCAATATTTTTTAATGCCAAATTCTGGTGGAAAAAACAATATTTTATACAAGAAATTTATACCGGGTGGGCTCGGTAGCCTTTCAATATTTTTTTATGACAAATTCTTGTTGAAAAAACTATTTCATACACGAAAATTGTACCGGGTGGGCCCGGTAGGGTTTCAACATTTCATACGACGATTATTTGTTTAAAAAAAACAATAGTTTATTTACAACAAGATTTTACCGGGTACGTCCGGTAGATTTTCAATATTTGTTATGACGACTGTTTATTATAAAAAAAATTATTTACAAGAAGATTGTACCGGGTGCGCCCGGTAGTTTTTCAATATTTTTTAATGCCAAATTCTGGTTGAAAAAACCATATTTTATACAAGAAAATTATAGTGGATGGGCCCGCTAGTTTTTGAATAAATTTAATGTCGAATTTTGGGTAGAAAAACTATATTTTTACCTAGAAAATTATACCGGGTGCGTCCAGTAGTTTTTCAATATTTTTTATTTTTTTATGCCGAATGTTGAGTAGAACAATAATATGTTCAACGAGAAAATTATACCAGGTGGGTCCGATATTTTTTTAATTTTTTTTTATGGCGACTGTTTGTTCAAAAAACAATAATTTATTCACAAGATGATTGTATCGGGGGCGCACGGTAGTTTTTCAATATTTTTTATGCCAAACTCTGGTTGAAAAAACATTATTTTTTACAAGAAAATTATACCGGGTTAGCCCGGTAGTGTTTCAATATTTCACAGAACGACTGTTTGTTAAAAACAAATAATAATTTATTTCCAAGAACTTTGTGTGCCGGGTGCGCCCGGCAGTTTTTCAATATTTGTTATGGCGACTATTTGTTAAAAAAAGAATTTATTTACAAGAAAATTGCACCGGGTGGGCCCGGTAGTTTTTAAATATTTTTTTACGACAACTGTTCGTTAAAAAAACAATTCATTTACAAGAAGATTATACCGGTTGCGCACCGTACCGGTTCTGCCCGATAGACTGCCTATATTATTGTAGTTGAAAATTTTTAGAAAAAATAATGTTTCCCCAGCAGAAAATTGTACCCGTTTCATCCGGTAGACTGTGGCGTTCATTTACATGAAAGCATTTGTTTGCAAAAAAAAACTATTTTTATAAAATAAAACCGTGTCGGTCACGCCCGGTAGACTGACTATATCATTGTTGTTGAAAACTTATGGTTTCCTTGGCAGAAAACTGTACCGGTTCCTCCCAGTAGTCTGTCTATATTATTGTTGTTGAAAATTTATAGTTTCCTTGGGAGAAAACCGTACCGGTTCCACCCGGTAGATTGTTGGTTTCATTCTTGACAGCATTTGTTGCAAAAAAAAATATATTAAAAAAAAAAACTGTACCGGTTCCGCGCGGCAGACTGTCTATATTATAGTTGTTGAAAATTTATGGTTTCCTGGGCAGAAAACCGTACCGGTTTCACCCGGTAGACTGTGGCTTTCATTCTTATGAAACCATTTGTTGCAAAAAAAGATTTTTTTTTTCAATAAAACCGTACCGGTTCTGCCCGATAGACTGCCTATATTATTGTTGTTGAAAATTTTATTGTTTCCTTGGCAGAACACCGTACCGGTTTCACCCGGTAGACTGTGGCTTACATTTTTATGGAAGCTTTCGATGCAAATAACGAAAGATATCTTTCTAAAATAAAACTGTACCGGTTTCGCCCGGTAGACTGCGTATATTATTGTTGTCAAAGATTGTTGGAAAAATAATATTCCCTCGGGAAAAAAGTGCCGGTTCCACCCGGTAGACTGCATGTATAAATGTTGTCAAAAATTTGTTGAAAATCTATTATTTTCAAAGAAAAAAATTGTAGCCGTTCTCGCCCGATAAACTCTTGCTGCTATTGCAAAACATTTCTTTTTAATGAAAATTGTTCCGATTGCGTTCGATAGCCACGGAATATTATTGTTGTAATGAATTTGCTCTTCGATCAATATTTCCTTTGAAAAAAAAAAAAATNCTTCAAAACGAAGAAAATCTTTGATTTCAACATACTTTTAATATTCCATCCGCCATCTGCAGGAACAAGGCGATACTATATTTCACTCCGATCGTTAGATGGCACCTCTTCTTCAGCATTCCCCCTCCCTTATTTCCGGTTTGGGATTTTGGCCCTTTGGGATTTTGTCCCCCATCCGGATTTTTTACATTCGACAATCGTACTCTCATGGGAGGGGAGGTCGTACTAGCGTTCATATTCCATCAATAAATAGAAAACATGAGTGTTTTTTACACTTGAATATTTCCAATTGTATCATTTTCTGGCCTACCTCGACACCCATGGCTTCCCAGTCTTTCCCTTCTACTTATTCCAATCTCATTCCAATTCCCTCCTCAGGACTGTTAGACAGACAAGGTAGGGACCGTGATTCTCTCTCTCTCTGTCTAAATTTCCCAGATCTGTGTTGTATAGGGGATATGGGAAATGCGCGGTCTAGGTATTATATGTCTATGCTTGAAATATAAACAATACCACCACCACCACCTGTATGATTTTATCTACCAATTTGCTGACGGTTGAAAATATAGTATATCGGTTTCGCATGCTGGTCCTACAAATAATTTAGATGGAAAAAAAGGAGAGAATCGTTAAAATCGTTCAGGAATTATGCATGCGGTGGATGAGAAATACTAGGCACCCAAGTATGTGTTTTCTAAATCATTTTTGTTTATGCACAAGGGAGATAAGAACTGGCGTATTTTTCTGCATTTAGCTGCCCGAAAAATACGTAGAGAAGACAATAGGCCAAAGCACAGATTTTCCAAATTCTACGGCGCCATTAGAGGGGCCTGAATGCTTGGGGGAAGAGAGTGAAACTGTCAGAGGCTGTGAACGGAATGGCAGGAGGAGTTCGGGTGATGTTGAAACGGTTTCGGGGTCTTTAGAATGCGCTGCCGAGTCTTTTATTATTGACGACGAAGGTTCCCCTATACTGACGATGGAAGTTGACGCATCTTGTGATTTTGATAACGTGAACAAAAGCCAAGCAATAGATGGATTTTCTCTGCAGGAGATTCAGAACGATAGGAAGCACAATGAGGGTCAAATTGAGGGCTTGACTGAGAACCAGCATTCTTTAACTACTGCTCAGCTTGATTCACACTCATCCATGCTGGATAATCATCCATGCTTGGACTCACTTGCGTCCAAGATTGAACCTAACCCCGAGGGAATTCAGCTTAATGATGGAACTGCTGACCTTTTAACTGAGGAACAATCATTACCCACAGATGAACTGTATCAAAATAACGTCCAAAGTCATGGAGACCGTGAGGACGTCAATATAAAGAAGTCGACTGAGGATGAAAATTGCTCGAATTCCTCCAGATCTGCATCAAAGATTTCGATTTTTCATGATGAAGATTCAATAAAACTGAGCATGGGAATTGAATCTGTCCACGATGAAGATGCTAATCGATGTGACGAGATTATTTTGGAGAAACCAATGCAGTTGAGAGACGAGTTAGAGCAGAAACAGATTGTAATCGCCGGGGATGAAGAGAACAGCTTGCATGTTGACAGCATGAATACGAATGAAACTGATTCACATTCTCCTGTATCTGCCCTGCTTACCAAAGAGGATTCACTTGAGCCAAAGACTGACACTAAGTTAATGGAGGTTTCGCTAACTAATGAAGCTACTGAGCCGATTCTTGAGAATAAACCTTCACCAAGAGACGAGTTAGAACAAGAGAAGGACAACACAGACAACCAGAGAGGGGATAAAATTGTCTCGATCAGTTCTGAACTTCCTGTTGTTGTTACAAAGCGTTCACTCAAACCAGGAACTGAAGAATTCTGTGGATTAGTCCACGAGAAACAAAGTCTATCGAGGGATGAACCCGAAAATGAAGAGCTGAACCTGGAAGAGACTCCCAATGCCTTAGGCAATTCGATCCCGAATCCAGCGGATTATGGCGTTATGACGACAAATGATTTGATTTCTAGCGATAACAATACGAGACTCGAGGATCAGACACATTCCATTCCTCTTACAGATAAAATGCCATTAAAAAATATTCTTGGAATGAAGGATATTGTCACCGATTCAAAACAACTTGTTGACACCCAGAAAATGCTCAGCAAGAAGATAAAAATTCTAGAATTATTGAAGTCAAAGAGAAAAAAAAAGAAAATTATGGAGATTTCCGAGGATTCTGAGAGCACTGCGTCAGTTTCTGAAGAAAAAACAAGAGAAAAGAATGGATGGCAACAGGAAAAGGTTAATAATGACTTCAACTACAGTGAGAACAGCTCAACAAGTCTGAACGACTCATCATCTCCCATCTTCAATGACAAGGAGAACGTCGAAAATCATTCCAGCAACTTGATTAATGTAGACCGAGTGAATGCAAGTTCAAAAAATGTGAGTGATGATAAGAATGTCTCAGGTATTTCTGGAGCAAAACTCACGACCTTGATTACTGATAATCGACATCCAGCTGAACGAAGTCTGGAGAATGAAACCATCGGTGCAACTTCTGTTCTCCAATCTTCAACTGATAGCCTGAAAAATACTGTGAAAGAAAAAGCGAAAGAGAAGATGGAAATTCAGGTGACCACTGGAGTTAACCGATCAATGCTGAAAGGACAAAACACTAGACCAAATACTAATGATCTACAGGCCAAACGTTTTGCTCAGTCTAATTCTAAGGGACCTATACCATCGGAACATCTCTCTACAGAGGAAAGCATGCAGGAGAGGACAGCTCGAATACATCGACTGAGGGAACTATGGAAATTGAAGAAAAGACGAGAATTACAGGAGGTGTTCTCTTGGAGAAAATCAGTAGCTGCTGAAATAAAAAAAGAGAACAGGGCCTATTGGATGCAGAAAAAGTTTCCTAAATTAAAGAGTCAGTTTATACTGGATTTGGAGCAGCGTTTAACAGCAATTACTAAAAGACGCCAGAAAGCTCTTGCTTTAAAAGCTAAGCAAGAAGCTCTTGCTTTGAAGGCTGAGCTACAGCACCTTGCCGAACGCAAAAAGCTAAAAAACCTAAAACAACTCTGCTTACAATTCATTAGAGAATCGACTGAAACATCCGCTGTACCACCACAGTCTCCACTCAGAAACCAATCACAAGATTCGGATTCAGTGGTGGCAGACGAAGAACTTTCCGGTTCATCAAATTCTGGATGCCAAGAAGTCAAAATCATATTAGAGGAGGAAGAGAAGGAAATGAGCACAAATAAGCCCAAAACCTCTCCATCCACATCTAGAGTAGAAATACATAATTCAGCACAAATAGAACCTCAAGAACAACTATGCACTTCATCAGACTCTGCCGAAAAAAATGAGTGCGAGGATAATGATATCAAAATTATTGATGTAGTTGAGAATAAGAGAGTAGAGGAACCAGAGTTTAGGGCGCCGGTAAATTCATCCACACCAATGAAACATTCACAACCGCCAGCAGCAATCCCGCAATCACCATTGACTCCAGATAATAAATCGATACTCATACACGTTGAAGAGGAATCCCACAAAAAGTATTACCCAAAAGACAGATGCAGGTCATTCCCGTCGTTCACCCATTTCTCACTAAGGAAATGGAGCACTTGTTCCTATGAAGAGAAGAGACTGGAGTTTATAGAGGAGGCGAAAAGGACGAATGATTTATTTCCCAACTGCCAAGAGCCTTCTAAAACCACTTCAGAACATCTATCGACTCCACAAACTTCAAGACATCAGTCAACAGTGGAACAAGTAAGCCGAAATAATGCTCGGAATACTGAAGACTCTTCTTCAGCAGATAAGTACTGTTCGGAGAAGGCAAGCATAATTTGCAGAATATCCAGTGGATCTATTCCAGGGTATTCATCCGCTTCACGACCCAAAGAGCCTAACTGCAGGAAACGAGGACGTTCGCAGTTACCAAACGATGTGGTAATAAATCCCTACTGCTCCGAGCGGCAAATTAAAAAACCAAGGCTGATTGTCGAAATGTCCAGAATTTCGGGTGAGGATTTCGATGAACTAGAGACATCATCTACAGCCGTTGCAAGGACGCATAAACAGATAATGGATAAGAGAGGTTGTCGAATCGAAACTACAATAACTCCTGGAAACAACTCAACCAGTTCATCTAGGAATAGGCACATCAAGGAGGAAGTCGAAAAATGTGGCGAAAAATCATCCACTAAAGAGACTCTGTTGAAAAAATTGAGGAAATCACGTTCAAATCCAGAGGAAGATACTGCGTTTGAAGTTATCGATTTGATGGACGATTAAATTGACTGACTCAGGAGATAGGCGATACTTAGGTTTGATCGGGAGAGTGAAATATCCTAGTTGTATACAACATATAAATAGGGGAGAATGGGGTAAAATGGACACTTGACTTTTTTTGAATATTCGTAACTCAGAAACAGATATATCAATTGGGCTCAGTCTAAGCTCATCATAAAGAGGAGTCATTGTTTGTTCCATTGAGAAATAAAATTATTTCATTTCATGAACAATTCAACACCTCATGAACATTTCGAAAAAGGCAAAAGTGTCCATTTTACCCCACACTCCCCTACATGGAAAATAAGCAATGTTGATTTTTGAAATTTAACTGTTACCATATGATAAAAACTTTATTCTAGATTTAATAAAATAACTGAGGTAACCAAATTTTTGTTCGCTCTGCATAAAATAAAATCTATTCTTCATTTTACAACAAAAAAAGTTTTTTTCCTTTATGGCAACATTGATCCAGTAAAGAAGTCGCAGGATTGTTGGAATCGACGGACATTTTTATGTCTTTCTTCCCGACATTCATGTCGAAAACTTCCAGAAGTTTTGCGTCAATAAGTTTCGGCAGGAAATTCTTTCAGCTTTAAAAAAGGCCTTTTGAAGATTTATCCTAAAGCCATTCGTTCCCCAGATAAATGCACACCCAGCGGGGATCTGACTCTCGGTGGAAATTATTCAAGATTAATTTTCGGTTTTCTCAGAAATAGTTGAAAAATGTTCACTAGATAATCGATTTCTTTGGTGTTCCAACAGTCCATTAATTTTCCTTAAAATTTTCGCATACAGTGCACGTCTACTATTAATCAAATACCCTTCAAACCACAAACATGCACCTATTCCCCTCCAAAAAAACCAATGAATTCCACCTCGCTAATTAAAATCAACTCGTAACACCAGTGTCATCCCCTCCAGCGTAATTTTGCAGCCAGAGGCCAATCGAAAATCTTTGTCCCCACCACTGACGACACTGACCACCACTCCGATTGGCGTTATCATTCACTCTTGCCTGATTAACTGGTGCATTTCATCAGTACATCAGCACGCACTGACACTTGCAGCATTCCTCTGTCATCTGTCAAGTGAATTAAATCATAAAAAAACAGATAAATCCTCGGATCGAGTTTTGCTCATGTGTGATACAGTGGAAGAAGTGGTTCATCGTGTGAATTTGAGGAGAAGCAGGCTCAAATATTCTTGATAGTAATCCATCGCGCATATTGAGGAGCAAAATCAATGAAAAAAATCAGTAATAATAAGGTGGAATACAACGTGATTTAACACGTAATGACTTATTATTGAAGTGGATGTTGTTTCGTGATTGGTTGTTTACTCTTGGATTTATTAAAACACCTACATAAAGTATCGAGACATCCGGGAAGTGACCCTAGTGACCCAAGTCACTAGTCGTTTACAACAGGAATTATTCAACTCCGGTGTTATCTTTTTTTTTATACACGTCGCCGGCTGCTCAGCTGATAAACACCCAGTGCGATGGAACAGTTTATTTTTATTGATCGAGAGACTGGGGAAAGTCTCTTTTCACATGTCCATGATGATATTGATTTAATTAGAGGGGAAATTAGACATTCAATTAATGATGCGGAAACTGGAGAACCAGAAATTGGTATCGGAGGGAGGAGTATGCGGAGGAGAGTTCCCTTTCAGGTCAGCATTTTATTCATTACTATTTGTTTTCAAGAGGAATGAATTATAAGTAGTAAATGGATAATCGGTGGGAAGGAATGAAAAATAGTGATTATTTCTAAATAGTCAATACGCTAGTGTCAAAAGGTATAAAATATCGCCGTAAAGTCTTGAAACTGGGGTACTCTATGTATTTTGATGTGCTGCAACCGAATATATATTTTTTTGCGAATAAGTTAGACATTCAATAGTTATTAACAATTTAATTGTTTAAATGCCTTTATTGCCGCTATTTTGATTCGTATGCAAAAAAGCTTCGAGTAAAAAATGTTCTTTGCAATCTTAAGAACATTAGTTTTGCATCAGAAGCCCGAACGGTTGAGCCACTCATATAGTACTAGAGGAGATTTCAGCATCTGTCAAGTATAAATTATCGTATTTTCTCCAAAAATCTGAACGGATTTCAAAAACTCGGAAATGGCTGTAGTCTTAAGATTGCAAAGAACATTTTTTATTCGAAACTTTTTTTGATACGAATCGAAATGGCGGCAATAAACGCATTTAAACAGTTGAATTGTTGATAACTATAGAATGCCTAACTTATTCGCAAAAAAAATTACATATTCGGTTTTAGGACATCAAAATACATAGGATTTTGCCCAAGATTTACCCAAGTTTCAAGACTTTAGTCGTGACTGCTGTCAATAATTTGCACCAGATGTTGGGTTTTTCCAGATTTTTTTCCACTTATATACAACAGAAATAGATAGATGAATAAACTGTAAAAGAGGGTGGGGCAATATGGACAATCGATTTAAATAACGAGTTGAATTGGATCAAATCTACTGCTCCGACTTCATTTGAAGTTTATAAAAACGAACACCTTGTCATAAGACTGCGTCGTAGGAGTTGTAAGATAAAGCAAAAACGGGATAAAATGGACACTTCAATTTCTTCCTCAATTTTTTATGTTTCAACAGTGTTATTCAATTTCTGAAACACTAGTCATGACTGCGATTTTCAAATTAAAGAAAAAACTCGTTTTTGACTTTTGTCGTGGGGGATGGTAAACCAAATTTTTCTTTGCTCATTTATTCTCCCGTCCTCTGATTGTTTTATGGTGATTTCCTTTGTGAGTAGAAAAGTCAGTATCTTACAAGTTTCGCAAATGGATAAAAGGTCAGTTGTGTACGGCCTGTAATTATTCAGTGAAAAAAAAAATGATTTCGAAGGTATTTCAATAGTAAAACAGGAAATCCAAAGCTACTGTATATTTCGAACGTCAATGCAAAATTTAATAGAGTTGACTCCAATTTCTTGCTATAAAAAATACCGACACGATTTTGTTGGAAAATGTCTGTTGAAAATTTTACAGAAAATGGCTGACATTTTTTTATAGAGTACATATGATAAACAACTTCGTGATGAGTTTTTACGTTCAAGAAAAAACTCATTAAAATGATCACTTGACCCAAACAACTTTTTTCCCAAGAATCAATAATGACAGGTGTATGTTGCAACTGTGTCTAGATCCCGAGGAAGATCAAGGAGGAATTATCATCAAAAGAAAATGCCAAGAATAAAAAACAAGGCCTCGTGGATCCTCCACCAGAAGGTACATCGTTCGCGCAGACAAATCCCATTTTCCTCTTTCTCCCCGTAATATTCTACTGCAGATGGTTTGCACTTGGCCTTGTGGTCTTCGAAATGTTATTCCATCGATGGACACACCACAAGAATAAGACACTGAAAGATTGTGATGTGGAATTTCGATCGCCTTTTTATGGAATTACCTCTGAGTTTTGTGCACTGTGTCAGTATGAGACTCGAATGAATAAAGTCGGTAAGATGCAGCAGATAAGGATGTATAAATTTTTGAAACAGTGTAATTATATGAAGAGAGCTGTGACATGAATTAAATAATTATTATAATTTTTTTATTGTTGATTTCATGCGATACCTGCATTGACGCTAGTGATAGATAATTTTGTGCAGAGTCAAGAAAATAAAGAGGATATTTAATGAAAATTCACTTGGTTTTTGAGTCTTGAGAATCGATTACATTATCTCGTTGAAGTAGAGCGAAAGGGGTTGAAAGCTTTGCTTGTGCTCTACGATAACGATTTCATATTGAAGGAATAGTAAAGAGGTATAGAACAGATGATAAATACGATAAGCGATGAAGATTATTCAGGGAATATCATCACGACGAAGTGATTTAGAAAAGTTCATCGAAATCTTTCTTGGAGAAAATGTTATGAAGTAAGCAAATACCTGTCTTGATATTTTCCCCTAAAAAATATTCGCAAAATAAATCGCATCAAAGTTTTAGACGTAACTTCTCTTCACAATTACTTTGTTACATGATTAATGTTAGGGAACATGTAAATGTTTCTTTTTCCGTATCAGTGTCTACCTTTTTTTGCTAAGGATAAATAAGTTCGTGCATAGAAGCAAAAAGATGGAGGATATTTAATAAAAAGTCAATTGTCTCAATGATTTTCCAGGCTTTATTATGACCAATCTTGAAGAGTGACCGATTTTTCCTATGATCTTTATTCCTGAGAACAAAATTGATTAATTTGTAATTAATTTTTCGACAGAAATATTACAGAAGAACTTTTTGCGATTTATCATGCCCTTTGAATTATCCTCCAATGAGCAACAAATGCTGCCTGATTCATCGCGAGCTGCTATTTTCAATTGATTAAAATGAGTATCAATTACCATTAATAATAGGTCATGCTTAATCTATCTACATTCAAGAATATTAAAAATTGTTTTCGTTAGTCAAAATCGATATGTCCACCAGTTATAATTATCGTCTCATCTAATCCTTAAAATCATCGAATTTTCCCAAACAGAAAAAAAATATCAAGCAAACTTTCAGAATGTGAAAAGTTCAGGAAAGTCATATGGATAATCCGTTCATTATCCCCGGAACTATTAGACTGATCTAATAAGTCAGAAATATTTATAATGAATCTATTTGCTGCACAGATGAGTGAGAGATTGTCGTTTAAATAATTAACTAATTCTTTTTTTCCACATGAACCTGTCCTCTGAAAGCAATTTATTTTCGTCATCTTGATTTCTTTCGTCTGTGATCGTTCAAAAATTCATTCCGAGTCTATTTGAATTGAATTCTCCATATTATATTTTTCACCTTGGAGTTGCAAAAAGGGAAATGTTCAAGAATTGTATACAGTCGACTGTTTGTGTATATATGGTACTAGTACGTTTCCAATAATATTTCAAGAGATCTTTCTCGCATCCCACTAAATGTAAAACATACAAGATCTCTTCATAAATTCACCTCTTTCTTCGCAAAATATTTACAGAATAATCAGCTAATCCATTGTAAATTCACCTCTACCATAACTTCATCCCTGGCAGCAACATTTTTTCTTGTCAATTTTCTACTATTCAAAAATTGATCCTAAACCCTTCAACAATCCTCGTACATTTGTCACCTCGAAGCTAAAATTTCCCTAGTAGCAATTTGTACAATAGCATTAAAATCGGTCTGCATATGTGCTCTCCAGAATCTGCACCTGCTCCAAGTTAATGCCGAGTAGTTAGGACTTGGAATCCCATGAAAAATCCTGGCCACCGCTCTCCCAGTAAAATTATTATCCTTATAGTTAGAAATCAAACTTCTAATATCTGATATGATTAATGATTCATTAGCAATCGGTTTACTCTCACTCTTCTCGACAATTTCCAGAGGTGAACAAGACTGGAAGTACTCCCTGATGATCTCTTTAAGACTCTCCGACTTCTTCAGGCTCTCGTCATTCAATTCCATGCACTCTCGTATCGAATTATAGCTGACTCCATTCAAAGCCGCGTAGATAATTTCCAATTGATGCAACGAAGATTTCTCCTGAGACTGAGTTCTCTCAAATAATGCTTCAAGAGCTTCATCCAGTTCAGCATCATCAAGATCCCCTGGAGCCCTCACTCTCAGCCCCAACTTCTCATACCTCACAGAAATTACACTTCTCGTAGACCTCCCCTCCACAGTCGTCCATTCTAAATTTTTTAGATGACTTTTAACAACTCCACTGTCCCATCCAATTGCAGCAGCAACATCTACCACAGGGAACTCAATCACACTACTGTTCTCATGAGAAATCCCTCGTTTAGCATCGAGAGCAATGGCCATTGCAAGAGGCGGAGAGGACTGAGCTGCAGCTTTGAGAGCTTTAGGTCCATTGTAACTGGAAACTTTGGCAGTAACGTAAACGGAGGACAAAACTGTGATAAACTTCTTGGGATGTAGCTCAAGATAGCACAGAAGAGTTGATATAGTCTCCTCAGAGATATCGAGAGCTGCCACAGTCTCATTAATTGGAATTGCCACCTCATGTCCTGGACAACGATTCCTAGACTTTGATTGAGGACAAGAGCAGGGGACGAAGATCTTCTGCAGGAGTTTTCTGATTGTGTGTCTGTCCACTCCGTCTTGATACACATGACGACGAAGCTCCCACTTGTCACAATCCTCTGTTGGACTTAAGAATAGATGACAGTGAGCTGGTAAATTATCTCTTCCAGCTCTTCCAACCTCCTGGACATATCCCTCGAAACTCTTTGGCATGTTGTAATGGATCACTGATCTAATGTCTGGTTTATTGATTCCCATTCCGAAAGCGACCGTGGCCACAACGATCCTTGTTACACCCTTCATGAATGCTTTCTGGATCACTTTACGTCGACTCGGAGCCAAACCTGCGTGATAAGCCTCTGCAATCTGCGAGACTTTTACCTTTGGTTTCGGTTTATCTTTATCCACTGTATCTTGTAGAGATATTCGGAGAGTTCCTGCTATTCGCAAACACTCTTCTCTTCTTGTGCAGTAAACAATTATGGAGTCACACTCTTTAAATCTTTCGCTCCTCAATAATGATATTAATGCTTGATCTCTATGCTCATCCTTGGAGACTGACAGAATTAGATTATTTGGCATTGGAATATCAGAGATGACTCCATCCATCCCATCGTGGATCCTCAAATGCTCAACAATGCTCTCAGCATTGTGCCTAGTTGCTGTCGCAGTTAATCCCAAAATTGTTTTCACCCCAAGTTTTTCCAGAAGAACTCGGCAGATCATTAAGTAAGAGGGTCTGAAGTTGTGAGACCATTGGGAAATGCAATGGGCTTCGTCAATGCAAGCGAAGGCAATCGGTGGAAGTTGTCTCAACAAACTACCGAACCCCGTGGATTTTTCGCCGGCGACAACTGCCTCTGGAGACACTAACAAAATATCCAAATTTCCATCTTTAACGGTCTGCATGATTTTCTCTCGAACTGCTTGGGTTTGTCCAGTATGGAGGGCAGCCGCTGACAGAAAAGATGGAATTCCTGTTACTTGATCGTCCATGAGGGATACCAAAGGAGAAATAACGAGAGTTATACAGTGGGATCGTTTGGAGTAGAGGTAGGCAGGAAGTTGATAGCAGAGAGATTTTCCAGAGCCTGTGGACAATGTCACCAAAGTCGACTGACCAGAGAGGATTCTCATGACTGCTTTTTCCTGTCCAGGTCGGAAATTATTGTGTCCAAACATTTTTAAAGTGTCGAAGACCTCTTCAGGGGTCGCTTGAAGTTCTCCAGTACTCAGTGATGGGTATACCGGGTCGATTGCACCATTCACTGGAGGTAATAATTTAGCGACGAGATCCTCAGGGATTTTATGACCAACCATCGCCAGTTCTTTCTCCTCATCGATGTCCTCGAAGTCGTCTTCATCAAAGTGAAATTCTTCATCAGAGTTTTCCGAATGTTCTGAAGGTCTTGAATGTCCTGAAGCATTAATTGATGCGTTTTTACTGGACATTGACGGGCATTTAGGAAGGAGATTGATTCTTGTAGCGTGAGCGCGAATTGCCTCTTCATTCGCCATTTTCTCCACCTGCTCCAGAGTGGGGAACTCGGAAATTTCCTCTGAAGTTTCCTCCAGAGGCAATAATTCGTCGCTCTTCATCGCAGGACATTTTCGAGACATGTGACCAGTCGCGCCACATTTAAAACATGTGTTCTTCTCAGCTAAATCAGCCAGGTCTAGTGCTCCCTCCGATGATGCCAATTCCTTCTTCTTCTGCTTCCACTGGTTCTTTTTGTATCTAGAGAAGTTGAAGGAACGTTTACCTCGGACGAATATCTTTTTCTTCAGATTTATTCGCACAAAGTTCTCGTTCGCCTTTCCAGATGCCACTTTCTCTTCGAATTTTTCTTTCTCTGTCATGAGGCTTTTGGGTTTTTTGGTAAACTTCTCGGGAGCCAGGGATTTTCCTATTGTCTGGGAGAATTCAGAGATTAGGTCGCCATTACTGTCTCTGGGGACTGCGAACCTCGGAACCACTTCCAAGGCTTCAACTCCGTAGATTGGAATGTTTGGAGAGGATTTAGTTTGTTCTACATCTTCGCACTCTTCGTCAGGTTCTTCATCTTCCGATTCCGGTTTTTTTCTAGCTCTCGTGGTTCTTTTGCTAACTCTTTGAGGTTTTACGTCTTTTAGCTCCTTACGTTTTTTCACTGCTGGTTTTTTACGTGAAACTCTAGGTTTCCTGGTTTTTGGTTTCTCTTCTTCGTACTCCTCATCATCAGATTGTATTTTTTTAGATTTTCTGGTAATTTTCTTTCTGGGTGGAGCTGATGCTGAAGATGATTCCAGGGATTCTGTTGATTTTTTCGGCGAGACTTTTGTATTGATTTGATTGACGTGTAGTAATTTGTCATCAATAGTTTTTCCTCCAGCAATTGTCGTAGTTTTAGTGTTTTGGGAAACGGTTTCTGTTATTTTAGAACTAATAGCAGTCTCTTGCCTCTGTGAAGACACGTCGGTAGGGACCGTCGTGTGGACAGGCATTTCTGGGGAAAGCGCAAGACATGGACGTTTAAACTGCGGTAAAGATCCATCAGACAGTGTTTTCCTCCAGTTTCTCACTCGTTTTCTATTATTCTCCTCTTCAGAATCACTGTTGCAGACAAACTCCTCATCGTCTGAGATCTGTGCCGAGTTTTCTGCACTGATTGATGGAGCGCTCTCGGGGGGTGAGAAGACACTGGTGTCCATGGACTCTACGCCAGAATCACTGATGCCTGACAGTCTCTGGGGGTTGACAGGAGGTAAAGGTTCTAGACCAGTGTCCTTGGCACATCTCTCTAGCCATCCAGGGTTCAGTTTCCTCTCTGCAACTGCTGGAGCTCCGTTCATCAATTTACGGACAGCATTGACTGGTTGGGCAGTTACTTTCGTCTCCAATTGAGTTATTTTCAAGTTTTCACCGAATAGTCCATCGGAGGTAGGTTCTTGGCCGGTTTCGAGAGGTTTTTCATCGTTCGGAGATGAAGATACACTGGTAGATTTATTCAAATCTGTTTTTGACTTTATCTTAGTCATTGATAAGGATTTTCTTGGATTTCTCTTTGAGAAAGTCCCAGATGTGAATTTCTTTTGGGACAATTGAAAGGAGGTTGATCTTCCTATCAAACGTTTTGTGCTCTTCTTGGAGGTTTCTTGGCCCTTGTTCAAGTGATCCCCCCAGGCTCCATCAATGTTGACATTGTCCTTTTTGGAGTCAGAAGTGTTCAAAGATGAATCTGTCTTCGTTGGAGACTTTTCTGATTTGGTTGGGGTCTTTTCGGGGTCAATGTTTTCCACGTTTTTCAGAGAAGTTTCGGGGAATGTGTCCTTAGAAGCTTCTGGAGTTTCAGAGTTGACGGACGTGTCCAGTGGTAAGTTCAGAGAAGAGTCAAGGGGAAGGGAGGCGTTGAGGGAATCTGCCAAAGAGTTGGCAGAGACGTTTGCCTGAATCTCATCTGTGAAGGTGATGTCCAGAAGAGTTTCTTCCAGAGCCTGGGTCTTGAGCTTCCAGTACATCTTGTAGGATTCTTTTATTCTTGAGTCTGCTTTTTTTATGTCGTTCTATAAAGCAAAAAAGAGGAAGATTTCTTAACAGTTGAATGAAATCAGGAACCATTTTTTTTAAGGGGAGACTATTATGAGTTTTAAAAGTCGCGGGTGCTTGGAGTGATTCTTCTCATGCATTGAAGATCGATTATATATATCTAAAAACATATAATATAATATAATAAAACATATAATATAATGAAACATATAATTGAGCTACCGAGGTTCTTTGTTTCCAAATTTTTGAAAAAATGTGTACAATAACAATTACGAATTAGTTTGTTGAAATTCGCGTCCTAGACGACTAATTTCATTTTGTTTAAGGCCCGGGTGGATTATCTTTCGAACGTTATCTCGATTGTTTTTCCATCTTCATAATGTAAAATATATCACAATTTCTATTGGATTTGATTGTACATCACGCAGGACTTCCTAAAAATTATGATTGCGCAATGAAAAAAAGTAAAAAAAACTCAACATTTTCAAAGAGCGTTTTTAATAAAGATTAAGAAATAAGGCCGATAGAAAGGAAATAGTGAATGGATAACTTATCATGGTAACTAACGATCTGACAGCCATTGATTATTGTGACAAATGACGACCTGACAGCCATTAGATACATCAAATTAATAATTTGCAATTTCTTTCCGATTTGGTTTATTTCCCGATATTATTCAAAAACGCGCTTTGAAAATGTTCAGCTTTTTTTCAACGTTTTTTTATTGTACAATCATAATTTTTGGAGATTTCAGGGCTATGTAGAACTGAATAGCAATTGGAGATCATTTCAGATTATCAAAATAAAAAAAACAACCAAGATCACGTTCGAAAGATAATCCTCTCGGGCCTTAATTAATCCATACGCAATACCCCCTTCCCGTATGCACTCCAAGTGCGGAAGCAAGTTGAGGGGTTTTCTTATGTTTTTTGGGGTGAGGAATCCAAAGCCGTCGGTGGTTTTCGTCCTGGTGCGTGCAATCAAAATTTATAAACACTTTTTATGGTTTTTTAAATGAAAAAATCATTTCTTCGGATGACAATCAGAGATAGAGCAAAATGTTTTAAACAAAAAATGTTGCCGTTCATTTTACAAATACGTATAAATTTATTTTATTTCAATCCGTTAATTAGCCTTCGAGATATGGTCCAATGAATGAGCGCGGAGCGATCCGCTGCGAGCGATAGCGATCGGGAGGCTCCACGCGCATTTCCTCTTCTAATTTTTCAAACAAACGGGCTTCACGTGAGGGTTTATGTCGAGAGAAATACACTGGAGAAAGGAAATGTTGAAAAAATGGAGAAAAATAAGGCCGATACATTTAAAATGTTTTGGAAAATTTCATATTCTTGGAAAATTCTGAGGGAGACAGCGGCGTATCCAATTCGCGGAAATTTAACTGGTTCGTTCTTGTTTTAGTGGACAATACCGGAGAAAATACGTGAATACATCAGTCTCTCTTCGCTCCTCGTGAGTGATGGTTCATAAAAATTTGAATCCGTGATTTTTCCCTCGTCCTTTTCAAAACTGAGTATTGAATTCGATCGATTTGTTCAAATAAGATTCGCTCGTGTCAGATTTATTCATTGTTTTTTAATTCAAAAATAAATCGTCGATTACCGAATTACCACCAACCTCGAAATCAATACAATTACACATCCTCCGTGCTTTTTTTTTTCCACCTATGAACAAATTCATTGTCTCAATCTTGTAAGGACCAAATTAGAACCAGAATTATTTGGGTATCAGGAGGTGGGAGGATTGTTGAAACCAAGCAAAATTAATGAAATGAGTCCTCCAGTTTTAGAATTGATTCCTCCATGCACGTGTAAAATATGTGCTCGTGACTCGTGCACTTGTCGTGCAAATGCAGTTTCATGTATTATGTATTGTAACTGTTCAATCGATGGAAACTGACGAAATCCCTACGAGAAATAGTAAAAATTACGATTGTTCATTGCATGCTCGATACCTGTGGTGTACAAGAGTATTTTTAATATATATTATTCTTAATATTATTTGCATACTATGGGCAGAGGCGTCAATTCATTTGTTATCCTCATAATTATGTCATGCATTTTCTAACGATTCCAAGCTACAATTGAGGCACAACAGTGGAATAGGAAACGAAAGAATGGAAGAGTTTCATCGTCCAATCAATGAAAATCATATGAATCATGTATCCATTCTCTTTACCTTCATTGAATGACATTACTTTTTTTCTCGATTACTATTTTCATTGAATGACTATTTCAATTTCTTTACTCATAACAAAAACATTAAAACCATGTGGAAGTGGTTGAATTAGCCTCGATGAAGAATACTCCAACTCGCTCCGTGTGTGACGCATGGCTTCGTGCGCAGCGCATCGCTCCGCGCTCATTCATTAGATCATATCTCGAAGGCTAATTGACGGATTTAAATGAAATGAATTTCTACGTATTTGTTAAATGAAAGACAACAACTTTTGTTTGAAACATTTTGCTCCATCTCTTGTTGTCATCCGAAGAAATCAATTTTTCATTTAAAAAACCATAAAAATTGTTTATAACTTTTGATTGCACGCACCTGGACGAAAACCACCGACGGATTTGGATTCCTCTCCCCAAAAAACATGAGAAAACCCCTCAACTTGCTTCTGCACTTGGAGTGCATACGGGAAGGGGGTATTGCCTATGGACTAAATATAAAAATTTGCATCATTTCTGTAAAATAGGCAAAAAAAATTATAATATTATAATATTTAAAAAATATTTTCGATTCTTTCAGAAACATTTTTTGGGCTATTTTACATGATGTGACGAAATGAGTTAATTTATTCCCTTTTAACTCTTGTTTCACTCCGAAATCGGCTAGTCTCGGTGAGCTCACGGGTGGTTCGCTCAATCGGAGGGATAAGTGAAGGATAGAGGGAGGGTTAACGATATTAAACCGACCGTACTGATGTTGGTAAAATAACTGTATATTAACTTTAATTTATACACGGTAGTGTTTAATGGGTCGGTATAACGCGGTTCTTGACTCGACTTTGGGACCTTGACCTTGATGAGAAACCTCGTTTCCCGTTCCCATCGTCCACCACTTTGGGCATAATAATTATAATTATTAAATAAATCGACGTATTGATCGATCTCAATACGTCACAATTACTAGTGCAATTTTACTTAAAAAAACGAAATTAGCTATGTAGGAGTCGAATTTCAAAAAATGAATTCGTAATTAATATTCTACACATTTTTTCAAAAATTTTGAGAAAAAAGCTTCTGTAGTTCAACAATTGGAGGCCCTGGATTATTTTTAACATTTTAAGCGTCTGCGGAGCAAACGAACAATAAAAAATTAATTTTTTGGCGCTAATTATTCATTTTAGATATATAATCACGCTTCTATGTGTGAGAAATCTCATTCCAGTGGCCCGCGACTTTTAAAACTCAGTAATGTCCTCGTAATTGAGTAGGGAAGTGAAAAAGTTGGAATCTGTGGAGAACATATCTTGGTATTGAGTGATTTCTAGAGCAATCCGTGAGGAAAGACAGACCTTTTTAATCTATGTAGAATTTTTAATTGTGCTCTCTGTAATTATTTATTTTTATGAATGGAAAACTTCAGCGACAGCACGATGTAGCAATGAAATCATTGGAATCTTCTCGTTTTAATACGTCGATAACTATGCATAAGAAAACAATTCTAAAATTTAACCCATTTGAAACGGTCCATAACCTTCTCAGAGACCAGTTTTGCAGGAAATTCTTTGAGCTACAAAACGTTTTTAATTTTCCTTGTTTCCGCGTTAAAAAAATGGCGAGAAGTGGGAAAATGAACCACTTTCAATAATCGAAATTAAAAATGAATTGATTTGATTTTTTCAATTAGTCGACATTAGGAGAGCCAAGTTGAATGACCCTGAAGTTTGCAGACAAAAATCTTCAACAGCGCATATCTGATGAAGAAATTGAGCGATGAGAAAATTTCAAATTTCAATTTGTCGGTCGTGACGAAATATAATCGTGATGGTGGCTGAATATGTAAATAAATAAATTACGGGTTGATTTCTTCAAAATTTAACTATGGAAAACCATTGACACGGCATATTTCACTCCGAAATTATTTTATTGGAAAAAAAAAACATGGTCACGATTTTTATTTTACGAAATTTCAACGTGATTTTTGTTCTTTTTTTTCTGGTCCTATCGGTTAACGTTAAATCCGCTGCAAAACACTAAATCTTTGGCAAGTTCCATTATTCATCCAAATGATCCCATCGAAAAAAGAAAAAGCATCACGTTTGAATAAATTATAAATCTTGTCGTGATGTTTCTTGGTTTTTGTAATAAATGTTTCATTAATGATATATGTTTTTTACGACGGAAAACATCAACAGACGATATCTACGAGAAAGATACGTAGATTGGGACAAAAAATTGGGACAATTCTCTTCGATATTTCCATCAAAAATGATGGAATTAGGAAAATAAATACGATCAAGATCGGATATCTTCTACAAAAATGATTATATTCTTAAAAAATCGATATTTATACATGTTATTCTCGAAAACTCTCCCGTGAGTTTCTTCTTTTTAGGGCTGCGCACGAGACGAGACTGGCGAAAGTCTCGTCTCGGTCTCAAAAAATATCCGAATTTCCAGTATCGTCTCAGTCTCGGTTAAGAGAATATCGTCTCGGTCTCGTGAGTGTAAAACTTGGAAAATAGGAAAAATAATTTTTCTTCAAAAAGTCACAAAGAGATGGTCAAACTTCATCAAAGGTCACAGGAGGATGGGCAAATTTCACGGGGGTCACGAGAGTAACAAGGGGCTGGTCAAATTTCACGAGGGTCAAACATCACGAGAGTCTTTAGAGGATCGTTAAATTTTCCGAGGGCCAAACATCACGAGGGTCTCAACGGGGTGGTCAAACATCACGAGGGTCACGTAGGTCACAAGGGAGAGAAAATCGGAGTTTTTTCGACAACCAAGAAAGTTCCTCAAATTTCCAGTAAACCCGTACAGTTTTCTCGAATTTTCCGGTTTTAGGAAAACTGGACAGTTTTCTTGACTTTTTTAGAAAATTGAAGGATTTTCTCGAATTTTCTAGAAAACCCGAGAATTTCCCTCAGGATTTTCGACCCTCGTAAAATTTGACCATCCCCTCGTGATCCTCGTGATGTTTGACTCTCCTGGAGTGCAATCATCCTCTTGTGACTCTCGTGATGTTTGATCCTTGTAAAATTTGATTATCCCCTAGTGACCCTCGTGATGTTTGGCCTCGGTAAAATTGAGTACCCTTTTGTGACCCTCGTAACCCTCGTGACCCTTGTGAAATTTGACCATCCCCTTGTGACCCTCGTGAAATTTGACTATCTCCTCCTGACTCTTGTGATGTTTGAGTCTTGCAAAATTTGACCATTCCCTTATGACCCTTGTAATCGTCCCGATTTTTTACCCTTGTAAAATTTGACCCTTCCCTCATGATCTTCGTGATGCTTGATCCTCGTGAAATTTAACCATCACCTTGTGATCCTCGTAATCCTCATGATTTTTGTGATCTTTGTACAATTTGCCCATCCTCTTGTGAGTAGAGTTTCTAGAGCTAGCTCTTTCTTCTCTGCGACATATTTCTTTGCCATTTCCTCGTAAAATACACTTTGTTAAACGATTAGATATATGAAATTCAGCGTCATGACTATAGCATCCATTGTAGATTCCTGAGAATAGTAATTAGAAGCAAAGTAACAAATATCACGTAAGATTTGGGAGAGAATGTGAAGTGTGTTTTTTTTTCTTTTCAACATAATTATTCGTATAGTAGATATCCGATGTTAAACGTATTTATTTTCGTAATTCTGCTATTTTTCATGGAAAGAACAAAGAGAAATTGAAAAAAAAATTTCACGTTGAGGTTTTATTGCAATCCAACGTTTTATTTGTTTTTTGTCCTAATCTACTTATCTTCCTCATAGATATCTTCTGTTAATATTTTCCCCCGTGAAAAACATTTATATCATTAATGAAACGTTTATTACAAAAATCAAGAAACATCACGACAAGATTTATAATTTATTCAAACGTGATGCTTTTTCTTTTTTCGATTGGATCATTTGGATGAATAATGAAGCTTGCCAAAGATTTAGTGTTCTACAGCGGATTTAACGTTGACCGATAAGACTAGAAAAAAAGGGCAAAAATCACGTCCAAATTTCGTAGAATGAAAATCGTGACCATGTTTTTTTTCCAATAAAATAACTCCGAGGTAAGATATGCCGTGTCAATGGTTCTCCATAGTTAAATTTCGAAGAAATCCACCCGTAATTTATTTTTCATCACGCTGTGACGAAAAGTGAACTTTTCGGCACGCTCTGCGTGCCTAAAAGCCCAATTTCCGCCACATTGTGATGAAAAATATTGTTCGTAACTTGTGAAAAAATATTTTTTGCACTCGTTACGAAATATACTATATTCACATATTTAGCCACCATCACGATTAGATTTCGTCACGGCCGACAAATTGAAACTTGAAATTTTCTAATTGTTCAATTTCCTCACCAGATATGTTCTGTTGAAAATTTTTGTCTGCAAACTTTAGGGACATAAAGTTGAACGATTTTCTTATCGTTTTTAAATAAAATGAGGCTCAATGTAGTTTAAATCGTATCATTGAATCAGAAAGTATTAATGATATTATACGGTGCATTTTACTTTGCCTATTATAATACAATAGCAAAGTGGTAAGGGGGAATGGGACGAAATAGACGCTTTTTGAATTTTCAAAAATGTTAATGACGTAGAGGAGAGTGAGGTAAAATGAAACAGTCGAAAAACGACTATTTGACGCAATTCAAGCGAAAAAAAAAAATTTATCAGCTTTTGTTCAACATTTTTGATTATTGGGAGTACTGATGAGAATAATAATTTGCTATTCGGTAGAAAAAATCACTAATATTCGAAACCCCTAAATAGCATGTCGACTACCTCCACAGATGAATCCCACTCCCCTGTTAGGTCTCATTCTCAACGTCCACTGGTCATCTTGTCCCCTGACTCTCTAGCAACCAAATTAAGACCTCGTCATCGCTGAGTTTATGTTCTCTCCTCATTCGAAACTCCGAAGGTTTTGCAATATTTCTTATATCGAGACTATTGATAATTTTCACGAATTTTATCCACAGTTCTCTTTTCAAGTAACATGAAATATTTCATCTCTAATTGAATTGATTAGATTAGGGAGATTGCGTTTTTCTTTTTTCATTCGATTGACATTCAGCATCACATTTTTTCCCCCTCTAAGGTTCCCCCTGGGCCTTCCTCTGGACTTTGGATTTTGCTGTTTCATTTTCTTTTCAATTAATTCATTGACAAAATCTTCTCTCGTCAAAACTTCTCGATAATTTTCCATTCTAATGGATAATTTCCAATTCTAAATTATTATTCTTCTCAGTACTCCCAATAATAAAAAAAGTTGGTAATCAAAAGTTGATAAAAAAAACTTTTTGTTGTTTGAATTGCGTCAAACAGTCGTCTTTCGACTGTTTCATTTTTCCCATGTTCTATTTTGCCTCACTCTCCCCTACTGAATTGTTGATGAAACGAGATTATTTTTTAATATACACTGAGAGAAAAACAAACAGGTTGTCAAACAAGTCTTGTTTGGGCCAACAAAATCGCTAGTTGAAAATTGCCAAAAAAGAATTTGTTTGGTTCGAATTTAAAGGTTTCAAACATGAATAATTGCTCTGCTTTCAACAACAACGAAATATTTGGCTCAAGAGGCGGATAATTCATACGAGACGGTGCCTTTTTAGGATGAAAATATCTCATATAGAGGAAAATTTATCAAAAAATATTTTATCCCCAAGTTCGAAGATTGTTATCGTATCATTATTGTTGTTTCATTTAAGGGTTCATTCCTTGTTTGTGATTATTAGATAGCCGAAACTTGAAACTAATATCCCTTGTTTCGCATAAAACAAACATTTTTCGGAAGCAAAATACGTATGGGAGTATCGCATAACGAAGCAGTGCTGGAAATGACATTTCTTGCGTGTACAGAAAATGCAATTTTTCATTTCGGCGAACTGTTTGCATGTTTAGGCAAAAAAAATCCTTTCTTGGTGATTTTCAAAAAACTATTTTCTTGGCACAAGCATGAAGCTGAAACTAGCAGAATATTCGTCAGCGGAAAATTCAATTTAGGGAATATTCAAGTGTAGGAGAGTCAAATAATCATATGTAAAAATGTTTTTCAAGTGCGAAAGAGTTTCTACATTACTTGAAAACATTTGTGCACCCCTAGATTCGTCCAAGACAAATCTTCTGCTGTCGAATCTTTCGCTAGTTTCAGCTTCATGGCACAAGCAAAACATGTTTGAGAACTCTGTCCTTTTTCTCTCAGTGTACAAGTACAATTCGTCCCCTTTGTAATGAACCAAGAGTGAGCTCAATTGATAAATTTCTTTTTGATTTAGGAACATTGAAGAAAAAGTCAACAGGATTCATTCTGCCTCATGACTCTTTAAACGCGTAAATTTTACTTCTGGCTAAGTTTTTAGTGAATATCTCCGAAACGACAAGGAGATAGCGAAATTCTTTAACGAACTATTTTTGTAGCTCTCATTTAGCTCTAGAAAAATACTCTTTAGAGAAAATTCGTTATCTCCCTTGAATTCCGAGGTTTTCAATGAAAAAAGACCTGCGAGTCGGCATATGAGTCGATTTATGAGCTTTCACCCACTTCACTACTGAATGATGAGGAGATTATTTTATTGATATTTTAGGAATAACTAGGCTAGAATTTTTTTTTTACAGAAATGATGTCTCAATGGATGTGTTTTTTGTCCATCGCTCTGGCACTAACACATTGTTAGGATTTTATTCTCAACGATCATTGTTGGAATCCGAATGATAAAAAATATGACATCAATGGCTCATTGATTCAACTGTTAGATGATGAAACCATTCGCAGAAATGATTCCACCAGTAAGAATAGAGTTTAAAAATACATATTGTACAATTGTCAAATTTGTACCGTACCTTGTTGGGTCTCCTGCCGTATTTCTCCATAAAATCGCTCTCCCATCGTTTCACTCGCAGTTTGCATTTTTGATATTTAATTTTTACTGACGGATGTTCGAGCAATTCCATCTCAAATTATTTACTTAGCGTTTGACCATGCGTTCTTTTGCTCCATAAGTTGAAAATCAGTGAGATCAAGTCAGATGTTGAATGGAGTATTTTTATTTGAGGTTACTAACGGTGAAAAGTAAATAAAAGCCCGCGCAAAGTGGGATATTGGGAGGTGGTGGAGGATTGTGGATAGAAGATCACGTGACTTTTTGTCGCTGAGACAACGAATCACGTGTCAAGATGTGAGAAGTGCGGCAAAACAGTTACAATGAAAAGTGGAATTTTATGCCGAAAAGGTTTGTCAAAGTAATGCTTTACGTTTCACTTTAATTGTTCCTTGGAATTTCACATATTCTCCTTGATAAAAAAAAATCCTGGGAAGAATGAAGCCGCTCGGAGCATTTTTAGTACAATAGCACTGAGGAGATTGTGCCCCTACAGAATCCTCACCTTACATTGAATATTCACTCATTTGGGGGATAATTATATGAATAACAGCGATTTTCGGCCATTTTCAGTACTTGTCTCACTGAAAAAAATCATAACCGCCGAACCACGTTGAAAGACAAACTCTATTTAGCGGCAAAATTCTTACCATTTTATTGACAATTTTTGGTGAAAATTTCAGATTTTTTAAAAACCCGGTGGCTTGGCACAGTGGATAAGTTCGTTGCCTTATATGCGAAAGGTTCCGAGTTCAAATCCCGGCCGGGTAGAATGGTGCGATCTAACCATTTAAAGTCTTGACCACCATCGCAGTACACCCTAACCGGGTCGAAGCGGTGTAAAAGAACGATAAAAAAAAGATTTTTTAAAAATTGCAGGCGGCTGTACCTTTGATACAGCTGTAATTGGACGTGGATTTGTCCATGGTCTTTCCTTCTTTCTCGAATTTCCTAGAAACTCCTTGAATTCTCTCGAATTTTTTAGAGACTCCTTGAATTCCCTCGAATTTTCTAGAAACTCTCTGAATTTCCTCAAAATTTTTAGAAACTCCTTGAATTATTTCGAAATTTCAAGAAACTTCTCAAATTACCTCGAAATGTCTAGAATTCCCATAGATAACGCTGCACATAAGGCCCGTTCCCTAAAATGACCCCCCATAATGAAACCACAGACGTATCCACGTCAAAATGAGTTTGTTGAGTAATTAACACTCAACAAGCTCATTTCTATAAGCGCCGCGCCGTACTTTTTGTGATTTTTTAAATTACACTGCAGTAAAGCCTCAGAAAAATTTGAAAAAATTTAACATCTCATTTTGAAGTGTAAGGGTAACACTGAATATAAAAAATCTCACGGGACTTCTTCAAGTATATGATTGAGATCGCTCTTGATTTTTTTCAGATTTTTTCTAGATCTTTCAAATTTATCATTATGTCAATTTATGGTGGTGCGACGCCGTATGTCTATGAGTGTGGCAGTGAATGTAGCAACAATGGCGCTCGAGGGGTCGACAGGGACTCACTCGCACTGGGCGGCGCGGCGTCGTTCTTCTATCCGTTCGACGTTTCTTTTCTTTTTTTCGCTGAACAAATTTCCCGATTGAACTAGGAACTCTAATTCAGAATTTTTAAGCGTTGAGAAACACTCTAAAATATTTTAAAACGGGCGGCGCCGCCGTCATTGAGCGAGTGATCAAGGATTAACTGAGGATTTTCTTTACTGAGCCTGGTACATACAATCGAGCCCTAATCATGTGAATAGTTTACGTCCACATTTTTCGACTAAGTCAGTAAAAGGAACACACTGCCAGTCAAATGATTCAACTCAAGTATTTTTAATGTAAAAATATTTATTCTTCAGAAATCATGAACACCGCATACAAACATCAAATCAATAAACTATCAACAGTTTTATTCAACTGATCACTGAACGCCTGGAAGCAGAATGTCTCAATGACCCTAGCTTTCCCCTCCCTCCCTAGTTTCAACCTCAACGCTTTATCCGCAATTAACACATGAATTTTCTCAGAAAAAGCTTCAGGAGTTAATTCTCTCACTAGAAACCCCGTGACGTCATTCACAACAGTCTCCATTGGTCCTCCAGAGTTGTGAGCAACCACAGGTTTTTCGAAATACATAGCTTCCAGTGGAACTATTCCAAAATGTTCGTTAGGTGGGGTATAAATTAACAAATGACAGTGCTTGAGGAGTGATACTTTATCAGAGTCCGATGGAGATCGTAGGAAAATGACATTGTTGGTGATCCCAAGCTCGGACGCAAGTCCCACCAACTCGAGATGATGCTCCACATTCTCCTCGACCCTCTTATCGTATCCTCCAGCCATTATCAAAAATGTTCTATTGAATTCATCTTCAGTCAAGTGATTCTTGAGGTCTGCCAAAGCTTCTATCGCCAGTCCCAAGTTCTTCTTCCTCTCATATCGATTTATCGAGAGTAGAATAATACTATCATCAGGCAGCTTCGTGTCTAAAGTTTTTTCTAATGGAGCTATGTAACTTGAGTCAAAAAAATGAGTGTGTAAAGATGGATACAAAATCTCTGGAGTAATGGATAATCGCGTGAAAGTGTTCTTGAAGACTTTAGAGGTGTAAATACTGTTGACGAATATTTTATCTGCCTGACCAGTGGTTACCTCTTCGAAGTAATTGAGTGGGGTTCGGTATAAAGATTTCAGACAGCCTCCAGGTGCTGTCAGGACTTGATCTGGATGATGGCAGTAGTATATGACTTTTGGGACAGATAGGCGGAGAAAGGGAATGCAGACCGATACCAAGTCGCAGAATACTATGTCTGGACGCTGCTCCATAAAGTAGATCCAACAGGCGGCGTAAATCTACAACGAAAAAATGGGAATATTGAGAAACATTATTCATTTTTCATAAAATGTACATCTTTTTGTCAATATTATAAAAACATATTGTTTAGAGATATTTAAGAGATCATTTTTATAGTTCGCTAATCAACCTACTGACTTCGACAATATTAGGCCCATTATTTCATCGATTATTCATTCATAATTCAGCTTAAAAATTCCAATCATTTTCGGAATTTTCCCCTCAGCAGGGGTACAAAGGAAGAAAGTTTGTCCTAAATTTGTAGACCATGAACTCAATGAGAGACATATGCAATCGATTTTTCTAGAATTAATTTTTAAATATAGTGACATGCACAAGGTCTGCCAAAAATTGAAAACATCAATTTTTTTAGCAAGATTTTTTTGACCGTTCATGTATTTCATGATGTTTTGATGTTGTAACGTTGAGACAATGTAGACTTTGAAAGATTTCTTCACGTAATTGATTTATATTAAAATTGCTGAGGACCGTTGAGGCCATAAGTTACAATATCAAAAAATCATGAAATCAATTTTTTTATAAAAAACGGAAGTTTCGAAAAAAAATTACTAATACTAATAATAAAATTAAGAATACTGCAGTGAAAGGCTCTTTTGGTAAATTCCGAAAATTCCACTCGTTTCGGAAACAACTCTTTAACTGTGGTACCGACGTACTTCCGATAAATACAATTGAAAATTATGATGGCGAAAACAATTCTGCAAGTATTTTCGAGGAGAAAAACAATTTAAAATGCATGGACCTAAAAAAATGTTCGCATGCAACAATTAAAATTGATAATCATAAATGATATATTTGGTAAATCCCTTTGACCCACTCCATTCAATTATTATACTTTGACTATGTAATTTATTGTTATTTTTATTTATGCACCTCAAGGAACATCTTACTCTTCTTGTGATCAATGAATACAATCTAAACACCCTTGAGTTATTGTCCGACATCCCAAATTTTAATGACTTTGCCTGGATTAGGAATATTTATTATTTTTTATGGAAAACTACTGGCTGCGGACCTGCGTTTGAGGAGTTAATCTTTTTTGAATATTCAACGTATTTCTCGACTCCTGTAATTGATTATTTGGTGTGACATTGTGATACTCTGTTTAGGGAAACAAATTAACACGCTCGACGTGAAATTTTTTACTTATCAAAAGTAATAGTGTTCTATTAGTAAGTGTAGCTACTGAGGCCTTTACTTCCTCACTCTTTCATATAAAATACAATATGAGGTATTGGAAATTGATCTTGATTTTTTTAGGATTGAGAAGCTACTCAATCTCTTAATTTTTTTCAAATTTTTTCGACAGGCCATTTCTGAGATGACTTTTTCTTTGTTTTTTCGATTTTTTTAATAACTCCAGTTGTATTCATCCGATTTTGATTTATGACACGTCATAATTTTCGATTCTCTACCATCTATAAGAATATTGTGAGTCATTTTTCTTCAACCCTTAGGTTCTCATAATACTGAATTTAAAAAAAAATCGGAAAACTTGAATTTTCAAAATTATTTCACGTTTTATTTTTCTCGTCTTTTCTTCAATAACTCTTGTAATCAAAACAAGTATTTTCAGGGGTCATACAATTTGGGTTTCGTCCTAGATCTATTTCATTTTCAATTTTTTCTTCTCGAAATTCCATGAATTGGGTCAAAATACCCTAAAATAGCCTTGATTGACTTTGATTATAAACAGTATGGAGTGAATTTAAATGTACACTTATATATTACCTATTTTTTCGATACATAATCGAAATTGTTTTGGGGTGTTTTGACCAAATTCGCGAGATTTCGACAAGAAAAAATTGAAAAATAAAATAGTTCCAGGACGAAACCCAACTTGTGTAACGGCTCAAAATACTTGTTTTGATTATAAGAGTTACTGAAAAAAAGATGACAAAATTAAAAGGTGACAATTTTGAAAATTCAAGCTGTTCAATTTTTTTTTTGGAAAACTCGCCATTATGATCACCTAGGAATTGAAAAAAAAATGACCGAAAATCTCTTTAAAGATGTTAGAAAATGGGAAATTTTGAGGCATCATAAATTAAAATCGGCTGAATCGAACCCAAGTTAATGAAAAAAACGAAAAAACAAAGAAAAAATCCTATTTCCAAAATGGGCTGTCGAAAAAATCTCAAAAAAAATAAAGAGATCGTTTTTCTAGCTTCCCAATTGTAGAAAAAATCGAGATCAATTTCCAAGAGGGTGAGGGTCACGCGTTGACTCTATTGCCATGGAATACCTCACATAGCTTAGTGTTATTTACCATGCGAATGTAAGCGCACAGTGCGAAGAATCTCCCAAAAATGTGTCTCGGAATCCAGTCTCCAACGACATGAACCGGAATACTTCCATCCTTGGTCTCTGAAAAGCACCTCTCAGGATCATAGAAACTTGTAACAAAATTAACGTCATGTCCTTGCTTCTTCAGAGCAACAGCGGCATCAACGACGAGTCTTTCTGCTCCGCCGATTCCCAAATCGGGATGTAAAAACATTATTCTAACCATTCTATTTCGACACAACACTTCAAACAATACTCGAAAAAATTAATTTCAAGGTGTAAGGTACACGTCACACGTAAACGAAAAAAACATAACCGTAGAGGAGTTCACACTTGGGTTCACTCCATTTGTTTTTATCTCTTCCATCAGAAACATCTGTCAGTTTGAACGAATGAGATAAAAAATACTAGAGATGAAGTGATCATAAAATTTTTACTTAAGAATCCTTTACCGACTGCTGATTACGAATTTAGTACGAAAATGCATTGACTGCGCCGCTTGGCACTGCTATCGCCCTTCAGAAAATCAACTAGCGGAAGAACATATGTTTTAACAAAAATTCTGCGCATGCCCACTGAAGGTTTCCGTGACGTACCTAGCCATCTTTCCCAGTCAACCCAAAAGTGATNCAAAATTAAAAGGTGACAATTTTGAAAATTCAAGCTGTTCAATTTTTTTTTTGGAAAACTCGCCATTATGATCACCTAGGAATTGAAAAAAAAATGACCGAAAATCTCTTTAAAGATGTTAGAAAATGGGAAATTTTGAGGCATCATAAATTAAAATCGGCTGAATCGAACCCAAGTTAATGAAAAAAACGAAAAAACAAAGAAAAAATCCTATTTCCAAAATGGGCTGTCGAAAAAATCTCAAAAAAAATAAAGAGATCGTTTTTCTAGCTTCCCAATTGTAGAAAAAATCGAGATCAATTTCCAAGAGGGTGAGGGTCACGCGTTGACTCTATTGCCATGGAATACCTCACATAGCTTAGTGTTATTTACCATGCGAATGTAAGCGCACAGTGCGAAGAATCTCCCAAAAATGTGTCTCGGAATCCAGTCTCCAACGACATGAACCGGAATACTTCCATCCTTGGTCTCTGAAAAGCACCTCTCAGGATCATAGAAACTTGTAACAAAATTAACGTCATGTCCTTGCTTCTTCAGAGCAACAGCGGCATCAACGACGAGTCTTTCTGCTCCGCCGATTCCCAAATCGGGATGTAAAAACATTATTCTAACCATTCTATTTCGACACAACACTTCAAACAATACTCGAAAAAATTAATTTCAAGGTGTAAGGTACACGTCACACGTAAACGAAAAAAACATAACCGTAGAGGAGTTCACACTTGGGTTCACTCCATTTGTTTTTATCTCTTCCATCAGAAACATCTGTCAGTTTGAACGAATGAGATAAAAAATACTAGAGATGAAGTGATCATAAAATTTTTACTTAAGAATCCTTTACCGACTGCTGATTACGAATTTAGTACGAAAATGCATTGACTGCGCCGCTTGGCACTGCTATCGCCCTTCAGAAAATCAACTAGCGGAAGAACATATGTTTTAACAAAAATTCTGCGCATGCCCACTGAAGGTTTCCGTGACGTACCTAGCCATCTTTCCCAGTCAACCCAAAAGTGATTGTTTTTCAATTTTAGTCTTATTTAAATCAACTTTATATTAATGTCAGAGCCACAGTCCGCGCTTCTACTAAGAAAACAATTATCAGGTATTGATAATATTAATGAATTACGTGTTGAAAATAGTGTTTCCGTCGTCATCGTATCATATATACGAGTCATAATCGAGAGGGGACCATTTTTAGCTCCGAGCGAGGGACAATACCCGTGCCTGAGCTCATCCATTTGTGCTTACATTATCATCAACTTTTCATTCAAAATTTTATTCCAACTTTTTAACGTATTCGTCAGGAGGGCATTTTAGCTGGATTTTTATCCACATTTTTTAATTTTTCATTTTTATTTTACGGCTCAGTCACTATACGCCCCGATCGGCTAGCAAAAATCAATAACCCGTTCCTCCGTACGTGGGGTCCCCCATGAATAAATGTTAACCTAGCATTTGCACATTTTTTTCCTGTCACGTTTGACTTTTCTAAAATTATGGGGTTTTAATTTTTGTCACGACCGTGGGGATTGAGAATTGTCAAATTCGGGCTTTGAGGTATTTGTTCCATGGAGACTTGTAGGTGCGGGGAAACTTTCTTATGGGTGTATGTATGCGTGTGTGGGTACATATAATTCATGGATATCATCGTGTATTGCACGAGGCTACCAAGCTTCTCACCAGACCAAAAATAATGTACGACCATTTATTATTAGCATTTACGCCACACACATTGACAACCAGGGACTCATTTTTTTCTCTTCCTTTTTTCATTTTTTTTCTCATTTCGTACATGAGAAACTCCGGTTTGTGATAAATGGACAATAAGAAAAAAATGGGTGAGGGGGGATTCTACGGGAATTATGTTCGTGTCGTGAGACTATATTCGAAGTTACGCCCCGAAGGTCAATCTGCCTACTTTCGAGACGGCATCGCTTTCTTGGTTTGAGTCCTTTTGTTTGGCTTGGGGATTTTGAGAAAGAGAGAGAGTTGGAATGATAAATAGAACAGGTGATTCTGTTTTGATGAGCAGGATGAAGCGTTGGTGATTTTTTTGAATGCATAATTTTGACTTGGGTTTTTTGGGGATGACGTGACGCATCGGTGAATTTCAGGTTCTCTTTTTTGATGGGCTCCATGACTGGTAGATATCCCTAACCTTATTCATGTGTGAGTCACTTGGTGACTCGATGCAGCGGAGATTCTCTGATGCTCCGAGAAGAAAGGACAGGAATTGGGGAAGATGTGGGGTTTTAATTGATTTCCGTCCTTTTTCTGTTCTAGAACTGAATAAAAACCCAGTAGAAGGGTTTTCAGCTGGCCTCGTAGACGACAATGACATTTATAGATGGGAAGTCCTCATTATTGGACCTCCGGATACACTGTAGTAAGTTTTTTGAGGAAACTTCGCTTGTCAATAGATTTGCGCTTCTTTGACAAAGATGATGAGTCTTGAAGTTTTGTAGTTTTTTAGTGAATAGCTATGGAACCAATGGGTTCAGAGGAAAAAGTATAAATATCTTTTTTGTTAGGGAATGCAATTCTCTAGGGGGAAGACCTTTCGATGAATTTGAATAAACATCATCATTCCGAAGATATGTAGGAGATAATCTGTGTTTAACCGTTTTGTTTTAAATTGACGATTTTAATTAACAGTGAAGGAGGATTCTTCAAAGCGCATTTACAGTTTCCCAAAGAGTATCCACTCAGGCCACCAAGAATGAAATTTATAACAGAGATATGGCATCCAAACAGTGAGTTATTTATCTAATTCTTTCACCTTTTTAAGACGAGACTAGGGTAAACTGCCCAGTAGATGGACGTCTAAGAAAACCACCCAGTAGATGAACGTTTGTTTTTTAGCAATTGAAAAAAAAATTGATCGACAAAAAATCGTCACTCATGAGTTAAGACTCACAACAGTTAGTGAAAATTCGAAGCAACAATTCACATTTCAGTATTTTTTTGCGTAATTTCCTATCCAAAAGTAGCTCGTCCATCTATAGGGCAGTGTCCATCTACTGAGTAGCTTACCCTACTATGAGTTTTAAAAGCGCAGGCCATTGGAATAAAATTGCTCATGCATTGAAGATTATATATGTATAAAAATGAATAATTAGTGCAAAAAATTAATTATTTATTGTTCGTTTGCTTTGCAGACGCTTAAAATGTTAAAAATAGTCCAAGGTCTCCGACTACGAAGGTTTTTTTTCAAAATGAAAAAAAATGTATACAATAACAATTACCAGTTATTTTTTTGAAATTCCAATCCTACACAGCTAATTACGTTTTTTAATAAAAAATTACACCATTCATGTGAAATAGCCCCAAAAATATTTCTGAAAGAATCAAGAATATATTTTAAATATTTTCAGGATAATGTTTTTGCCTATTTTATATGAATGGCACAAATTTTTATATATTGTTGCGTATTTGTTCTTTTCCTCTCTCTCAACTAAATTCATGTACGATCGTCTCTTTCTTTTTTCATCACTCTTTTATCTTTGTTCTTAGTCCTCGTACATGTCACTTCTTTTTGTATCTTTTATTCATTATTCTTTTCGCCCATTTTATTTGATAAACTCATTTTTTATTTAAACGGTGACTTATTTAACAATATTAGGTAAAACGAAATTAGATGTGGAGTCGAAATTCAAAAAACTAATTCGTAATTGTTATTGTCCACATTTTCCAAAAAATTTGAAAAAAAACCGCTGTAGTTTAAAAATTGGATTATTTTTAACATTTTTAGCGTGCGCGGGGCAAATGAACAATGAACATTTTTTTTGCACTAATTATTCATTTTCAGACATATATAATTGATGTTTAATGCATGAGAAATCTCTCTTCAATCGCCCGCGACTTTTAAAACTCATATTAGTCTCCTCTTAAATGATTTTCTCATGTTATGTAATAGAAATAAAAATATTTGGAATAATGAAGAGTTTTTTGTATCGATTTCGAGGATAAATTTATTTAAATGCTTGCAATTTGATATTACAGTTGAGAAGAACGGTGATGTGTGCATATCGATCCTGCACGAGCCTGGAGATGACAAATGGGGCTATGAGAAAGCATCAGAAAGATGGCTTCCAGTTCATACAGTTGAGACGATTCTCATCAGTGTTATAAGTATGCTGGCCGATCCCAATGACGAGAGTCCTGCCAATGTAGATGCCGCCGTAAGTCCTCATTCACTATATATGTGAAAGAATATTTGTCTTTTATTCAATTATCAATTGTATGATTGAATGCAGTAGTAAAGTTATGAAACTGATCTTGACAAATTTGAAATTTTAGTAATTAGGGTGAGTGGGGTAAAATGACAACAGTCGAAAAACGACTGTTTAACGCAATTCAAGTAACAAAATTTTTTTTTATCAACTTGTTTATCAACTTTTTTCTATTATTGGGAGTACTGATGAGGATAATAATTTTCCATTTAATAGAATGGAAAATTATTGAGAAGTTTTGACGGGAGAAGATTTTGAGTTTCAATCGAATGAAAAAAGAAAAGTGTAATTGCCCTAATCTAATCAATTGAATTATAGATGAAATATTTCATATTACTTGAAATATTATTTGAGAACTGTGGATAAAATTAGAGAAAATTATTAATATTGTTGTCTGAATATAATGAAAGAAGTTACCTTTTATCGTAAACCCTGAAGGCTCGCGAAGATTGAATCTCGCAAGGGTGATAAATCATAAGGTTCATATCTCGCGAGGGTCATACCGTGTAAGGGATGAATTTTCCAAGGGTCAATCTTATTATTTATTGATCTCGATTGAACTCATCGCTTCATTATCTTTTATCTTGACATTAACTTGTTTCATTCAGCATTCTTAAGTGACAAAACTAATTCAATTGTCTTTGGTAACTTTTTTGAACTCGTCAGAACAAAATAGTTCTTTTCAGGACCAACTGGGTTTTTCCGGGGCTCCAAATAATAAAGTGGAGAATCCAATAAAGCTCAATAAATAATGGGATTGACTTTCTCACAATGGAGATGACTTGTGGCTTTTGCACCGTTTGATCCTCGTGGAATTTACTCTTTATGAGTTAAATAATATTTTACGCCCCAAGTACTGAGATCCGCGTTCTAACTGAACAAAGTAAAGTTAAAATTCGCGGTTCATCTATCCTCGGGACATAATATACTATTTTTTATGATATTTATGTGTCCAATACTGCGTCTTTCTCAGTCGTTTTTTTTACGATAAAAACGTAAAAAATCCGTCGAGGTAATTGACGTAAATTACCTCAGTAAAAACGGTGTAATTTACCAATGTAATTTACACGCCCAACCCTGGTGGACGTTGCGATTGAGATTTAAAAGGCGAGTGGGATTCGTCTGTGGAGGTACTCGATACGCTATATAGGGGTGTCGGACATCGGTGATTTTCCGCAGCGCATGTTCTTTTCTACCGAATAGAAAATTATTATTCTCATCAGTCCTCCCAATAATAAAAAAATTTTGATAAACAAAAGTTGATTTTAAAAAACTTTTTTGCTTCAATTGTATCAAATAGTCGTTTTTCGGCTGTTTCATTTTGTTCCACGAAATTAGTTAATTTTGAAACAAAAATCAGAAGGCATTTTTCGAAGGAAAAGAAATTTGCCATCGAAAAATATCTTTTGATTATCTCTCATAAAATTATCCACTAGCGAGGATGTGCCATAATTACGATAATGTAATATTTTTATTTACACTTTTCAAAACTGAAATTAGACATATCTTTTCAATTTTATAACTTGTTCTT